TGCCCAATGAGTGGAACAAAAGCTAAAAGCCTCTGAAGGGCTAAAATTATTATTTAAAAAATAATAATTTTTTTATTAGTTTTTACACATTTATTAGTTTTTACAACATAACATCATTTTGAAATTTTTGGCTATCACAGCCTAAGACTTCCTTTGACCTCGACTGATGGTTTTCTAAAGTCTTTCTAATTATGCGTTTTGTTACTATAATTATTGCTATAAACTCAAATTTCCAGTGCATCTATTCTTAATTCTTTTCACAAAAGCAGCTTATAGAATGGCATGCCCAACAAGTGAAACAAAAGCTAAAAGCCTCTGAAGGGCTAAAATTAAGCCTGATGTAGGAGACACACAAACTTTGTCTCTTTCCCCCAAATTCTCATACACGCCACCACAAGATTCCATGGGTTCCAGGTGTGCTTTACCTAGGATTTGTGTTTCCTTTTGGAAAATGAGGAACAGGCTATTTGTTCGGTCATCTACTCTCAACCGGCAATGGCTGTCCTTAGCACAGAACAGCCAATGAGCTCTGGTCCTCTCAACCCCTTCACATGCCCATGTCTTTAAAATTCTGCTGCCACCATAGCAGCTCAGTAGCAGATGCTTTGCATGCAGGAAGTCAACTCCTGGCATCTCCAGGTGGGAATGCTGGTGGGTGGGAACGTCAGGGTGCATTCCAGGGGAAGGAAACCCCCCCCCCACATGTCCATCAACATGCAGCATGCCACTTGAACCTGTTTTGAACACTCAAGAATGCCAGCACTTCTAAGCATGTGCAGAGTTCCTTTCATACCAAGGCATATCAGAGTTTGCCCTCTACCACAGTAAATATTACAGGTGAGAACGTTTTGCCCTCCAGATGTTGCTAGGCTCCCAACTGCCATCATTCCTGGCTCTGCTGGCTGGGCTGATGGGAGTTGGGAGTACAACATCTGGAACATCACAGTTCCCGAGTTCCTGTCTTAACTGCTGCAGATTAAATGGCAGTTAAATAAATGGTTACAGGGACCAATTAAAAAGTTGGCAGCCTTTAGCTAGAGATGCAACTGATGAGCTGACATGGTGTAAATTTCTTATGACTTTATCGCCTATTACCCATTTGCAGGTAATTTGCAGGCTCAAGCAGTATGTGGATCGAGAACTCCCAGAAGTGCAAGCTGGATTTAGAAGAGGCAGAGGAATTATGGTGCTGGAGGAGACTCTTGAGAGTCCCATGGACTGCAAGAAGATCAAACGCATCCATTCTTAAGGAAATCAGCCCTGAGTGCTCACTGGAAGGACAGATCGTGAAGCTGAGGCTCCAGTACTTTGGCCACCTCATGAGAAGAGAAGACTCCCTGGAGAAGACACTGATGCTGGGAAAGATGGAGGGCACAAGGAGAAGGGGGCGACAGAGGACGAGATGGTTGGATAGTGTTTTCGAGGTTACCAGCATGAGTTTGACCAAACTGCGGGAGGTAGTGGAGGACAGAAGTGCCTGGCGTGCTCTGGTCCATGGGGTCACGAAGAGTCGGACACGACTAAACGACTAAACAACAACAACAACCCATTTGCAGGAAGGGAAATAAATGTAGGTTCTTCTTTAGCTCATGCCTGCGGCTTTTATACATTAACTGTGCTGTCCCATCTGGACTGCAGCTGATTTTATGACACGTGAAAGTACTCAAGGGCACAGAGTGGAAGGATGCGTGTCCATTTTAAGTCATCCAGTTAGCTTGTGTTTCGTGAAGAGAAACCTGTATCCAGCAGATGGCAGCAGAACTTTGTTCTTGATAAGGTGAGCAAAACACAAGTGTACAGTGAGTGTATACACTGGCGGAGGAACAGGGGTGCGGGGGGGAGCATACCGCCCCCGGCTGCACGATCCCGGTGGTGTGTCATCGTGGCGGCCCCCCCAAAGCACTGGGTGCCACGCCCCCGCAGGCGGCACGCCACACCCCCAGGATGTGTGCCATGGTCCTGGGATGCGCACCAGCCATGCCCCCACCTGCTCTCCACCCCCCCACCCGCCAGAGCTTGAAGCTCCACCACTGAGTGTATAGGATGTTAGAGGAGAAGTAATGCCTCTGGTGGGGGGCACGCTGTGCTCCTCCTGGGGTAGTAGTTTGACTACCTGTGACCCCCACCCTGCACCTAGCTCTCACCTGTGGCTCCTAGAAGCTGTCAGCATGTGACAAGGCTCAGAAAGCAGAGCATGAAGCTATTAATCTCAGGGTCAAGATTTCGCCCAAAATCCAGCATCATCCGATTCACTCCAAACCAGTGCCAAACGCCAGGGAAAGGCCCCCTTTAATGTTTGGCAGTGAAAACCCCACAGCGCCCTAACCCACGGGGTCAATATTTTGTTGAAAACCCCGTGTCATCCGATTCACTCCAAGGCAGAACCAAACGCTGGCAGAAGTCCCCCTACAACGTTTGACGGTCAAAACCCAATGTTTTAGGGCACCCCACAAAATGACCCCTTGACTCCTCCTCTGATAAACCAATGTTGTCCAATTTACTCCAAAGTGGTGCCGAACACAAGGACAAGCCCCCCCTGCAATGTTTGGTGGTGAAAGTCCCACGTTTCACAGCACCCCACAAAATGACCCCTAACCCGTGGGGTCAAGATTTCGCCAGAAACCCAAGAGTTATAAGCCTGCAATATCGGGAGACCCACACATCCTCTCCACCCCTGCTCTAATCCCCAGGGCCCCTTATAAAAGACTTATAAAAAATGCCAATGAACCTCAAAGCCAGGATTTGAAATGTGAGCATGGCTGCTTCTGATTGTAAATAAGACTTCTCAACACTCACAATGTTTTCAAGTTTTAATTTTTAATTTTTTTTACAAAATTTACATACATTGATGGTTAAAGAGTTCTTTGATGGGTATTTCGCTGGTAAGAGGAGGGTAGGTGGGGCAGAAGTACAGTAACTAAAAAACATTTATATTCACCATCCAAAATGCCATTGGTATAAGACGACCAGGCACAACAGAGGACATCTCCTCCTCCTCCGTCAGCGGTTTGTCCATTAAGGCAAATGCACCGTCCGTCTGAGACTGCCCTCAGCCAGCTCCCACCCACCTGTGTTCTTACATACAACCAATTATTTCTGCCCCAGTGCTCCCCTTGTAGAAGTCAGCAGGGAGGAGGCTGGGGACCAAAGTAGAATGAGTTGGCTGTGCCTGTCATTGGCTATGGCGCCACCTAATGTTGACCTCCCTGCCTTCCATCCCAACAGCCACCAGCCACCATTGCTCCTTCGGTTCTTATTAGTTGGTGAGGACCAGGGAATTTCAGCAAGCCCTGATTCTAGTGGCACAGAACTGCAGGAGTGAGAATTAAGCTGGAGTTGCCCAAAGGCTCCTTGCTACCTAAGCATGACAAGTGCAGGGAGTCCCCTTTTTTCTATTGCAACTGTATGTAGTAAGCACTGAGGACCTGCATGCAAAGGTACCCCCCAAGATAGGACTTTCCATGGGGTGTCTGTGTACTCCACAGCAAGAATGGAAAGAACCTGACCCTATTGGACTCCAAGGACCCATCAGGCCCCAGCCAGCATGGACAATGGTCAGGGAGGATGGGAGCTGGAGTCCAGCAGCATCTGAAGAGCTGCAAGTTCCCCACCCTTATTTCCATCACTTATTGCCCAGCATTGTTTGGGCCAGAAGGAGAGGCAGGTGAACAAGCAATGGTGAAGAGGAGAAGCAGTTCAGGAGGTTTGTCAGTGGGCCTGACCATGCTGACCCTTGACACCACCTAGAGAAACAGCGTCGTAGTTAACCCTTTCTTCCACTAAGCTTAACAGAGTGCTCTAGTGAATTCCCCCCAAATATATTATAAAATATGAAAACCAAAAGAAGGGAGGAAGAGTGCATGTGAAGCTGATACTTTGGCAGAACTCCAAAGCTTTGGCTTCTGAGGTAGATAATTCAATACAAGAGGCATTCCCTCTGTGGTTGCTTTTGGGGATTTTACAGAGCTGTTCTCTGACCCAGAAAGGACTGACAGTTATAAAAAAGGTGGTTATCTTCATGGATATTTAGTCCATAAATATTCATGGACTTGGACAGATATTTAAATTGCAAGTATTTGAAATGCAAATTGGCATACATTTCAAACAAGATCCATTCCAACTCCATTTCGATTAGGCTGTGGGCTTTTTATTCATTTTAATAAATAGAACTGGAAATGAATTTCCAAGGAAGACGTTCGCTGCAATCTCTGCACCTTTCAACTGAATTAACACTACGTTCCAGATTTGTCAAAACTCATATGAAATAAATGCCAATGATAAAATAATTACAATCTCAAACAAACTGGCACTGGACTAATCCTATTTCACAGGCATTTTACATTTTCAGATGAGTTATGGAATTTGCATATAAGTACATTAGGGAAGAAAAGCATTTTGAGTCTGCAGTTCTAATTTGAATTGGTGACTTCTGAACTAGTGCAAAGCATCAGAGTCTATAGATTGTTTCAGAGGTAACATAAGAAAAGGCTGCAGGATGAGGCTAATGGCCAGCATCCTGTTCTCACAGTGGCCAGCCCAATGCCTGTGGGAAACCTAGAAGCAGACCCTAAGCACAAGACCACTCTCCCTTCTTGCATTTTCTAGCAACTGGTCCATCTTTGTCCCCAGGGCTGCCTATCTTGTTTCACTGCCTGAGGCAAAGAGGGAAGGTGCCTTGCCCCTGTCATCTCACATACTAGGGTTGAACAGCTGCAGTAAGGTAAAGGTAAAGGGACCCCTGACCATTAGGTCCAGTCGTGGCTGACTCTGGGGTTGCAGCGCTCATCTCGCTTTATTGGCCGATGGAGCCAGCGTACAGCTTCTGAGTCATGTGGCCAGCATGACTAAGCTGCTTCTGGTGAACCAGAGCAGCGCACAGAAACACAGTTTACCTTCCCGCCGGAGTGGTACCTATTTATCTACTTGCACTTTGACGTGTTTTCGAACTGCTAGGTTGGCAGGAGCAGGGATCGAGCAACGGGAGCTCACCCCGTCGCGGGGATTCGAACCGCCGACCTTCTGATCGGCAAGTCCTAGGCTCTGTGGTTTAACCCACAGCACCACCTGCGTCCCTACACAGCTGCAGTAGCTCCTGGCAAAATCCTGCCGGACGATGCCACCACTTCTCCTTCCTTCTCCAGGGATGGGTGGAATTGCCCATGCAGGCACTGCCCCACGGCATTCCACCACCCATGGTGGCCACATCAGTCTGCCTCTTGGGTGGGCCGGCCCTGTTGGTCCCTTATTTATACTGACTGGCAGCTGCTGCAGCTTTTGTAGCTCATTCTAAAATGCCGCCAACTGCTTTGAGACATCAGAACTCACGGGACTCTAACAGTTGTGTAGATCAGGAAATGTCAACAGAAGCAGCTTCACACACTCCTGACTGGCAAGCTATGTGTGCCAATATTTCCTGCTCTTCTAAACAGCTAAAAGGGCCTTTGCCAAAGCTCTGCTAAGAGGATCCTTGTTCTCCTCTGAAACTGGCCGCTCAACAGAGGGAGAGAGAGAGATTATGTCCTTATGGGATAGCTTCTTGACGGCAAATCTGTTGGATTGGAAGAGGCTTGGATGAATTGCATCTGGCCCCTTGGAAGTCGCAGCTATATGGTGAAAGTTTGCAGTCAAAGTTGGACCAGACAAATACTGTAGATGGATCAATCAGCAGTATAGGGCACCAAATTTCACAGCAGCTAGACTGTCATTCCTCAGTCCCACCCTGGGATTTTGAAACTGCATGAGAGAGAAATCCAACAGATGCAATTTTTCTGGAAATGACTATCAGCAAAGGCTATTGATCCATCTAGCCCAGTGCTGTCTACTCTGGCCAGCAGTGCCTCTCCAGGGTCTCTGGCAGAGGTCAGCTGTCACCTGATGGCTGAATTGGAGAACCTTGGGACACTCTGTGTGTAAAGCATGTGTTCTGCCATTGAGCTATAGCAGGGTTGCTGCCTAGCCAGGCAGGTGGGAAACAGCCTCGATGTTGCTGAACTACAACTCCCATCAGCCCCAGAAAATATGGGCAATGACTAGGACTGATGGGAGTTGTAGTTCACCACTGGTTCCCTACACCTGCTTTACAGGTTTCAGCCCCTAAGAATCAGCAGGGGAAGCTTTTGACGGCATACTGCTATAAACATTAGCACCTGCAAATTAGCACCTGCAAATCAAAACGACCAGCTGAAATGCTGGAAACCCTGAAATGTGGTGATAAGACAGCCCACCCCTGTTAATTCTCCGCCATCACTGCAGAACAACAGTGCCTAAAGCAGTCTTCCCTAACCTGGTGCCCTCCATATATTTTATTTTACAGATCCCATCATTTCTGTCCATTGACTGGGGTTGATGTGACTTGTAGTCCAAAATATCTAGAGAGCATTGGGTTGGAGATGGCTGTCTTGAAGCATGATTCCATATTCACCCTTGTTTGATCCTTGACCATCACTGTCAAAACCAATCATGACAAAATCCATATCCCTACCCCCCACCTTTGCTACGTTTGCCTATTGGTAGATTAGCAGCAGAGAACCTGGAGCCCTCCAAATACTCCTAACATCCCTGACCATTGGCCATGCTTGCTATGGCTGCTGGAAGTTGGACGACATCAACGTCAGGAAGGGACACACCTTCGCTGCCTCTGTTGTAAGTATGAAACTGCATTAAGGAATGGCTTCATCCAGCCATCGTGACTTGCTTAAAGTGTTGTTGTTCCTTCTTCACAATGACTGGCTGCTGGAGGAAAGGGGAATTATGACGTGTGCATTTCAAAATACCTGAGTCAGCATCAAAAAGATAGACATCTATACATGTCAAGTAAGCACCCATAGAAGCGACTTATAGCCGGACTATGGATGAAGGACTTGTATTCCCTCAGTGTAAGTTCCATGTTAAACCAGCAGTGAATATCTTGGGTGGAGAAACAGTATTAAAGGGACAGAATTGCTTCTAGGATTTGTAATTTAACTAGCAAGTTAAATTATAGCTGACGATTCTGGGATCCAGAGTAACTACTCCTGCCCTTTCTCAACCAAAATACCCCCCTCTGGAGTATCCTTATCAGATGACGGCAACTTCACTGTCTCTGGGGAATACATGATAGCCATTCCCCAAACTGAACACAAAAGGAACAAACTGGTTATTTTAAAAAGGGAGTTTTTCCTCCTCCTCCTTTTCTGAACACTGATGTAGAGTCAATTATAATTATTTGGCGATCAGGAGATCCAGACCCCTCCCAGCCAAGCTTGCATTGCTGTCCTGAAAAGAAAGAAGAAAAAGGAGTTTGAAAAGGGAAATAACAGTTTGCTGATGCACGTCAATTTCCCATCAAAGACAACAACAGACCCTAATCCAACACAGCAATTTAGCCTGTCATTGACAAATCAAGCCAGGCTTAGGTTTCATTAAGGCAAACAAACACACAGAGCTGGAATCAATAAGCAAGTGTGTGTGAATTGATTGCATAACTGGTTCTTCAGAGCTCCTGGTGGATTTCTCTCGGGGGAAATAAACCGTAAACCATTTCCGTCCCAAGCTAAGGCATAAAGCCAACGAAAGCAAAAGCAGTTCTAAGGTGACACACATTTTACTCCAGCAAAATGCTGGCCCCTTGCCCCTGTACCTGCAGAGCCATGAAAACGAGTAAACCAAGAAGACAAGAGATCATGTGCTTCTCAGCACTCATTAGTCCCATTCCAGCAAGGAGCCACTCTTGTGCTTTGGAACTCTCTGCTCACTGATGTTAGGCAGACGCCCTCACTATTTCCTTTTAGACCAGGGACTGGGGAACCTGAGCCAGGCAAGACTGCTCCCAGGCAGCAACTGTAAGAACTTTGCCACAGCTGCAGCTGTTTCCAGGGAGAACCCTATTGTTGAGGACACGGTTTGTGATGGGCAGTTGGCATTTGCGGTGAGAGCAGGAATGCGACTCACAAATGCACGAGGTGTGATTCATGCTGCGCCCAAGTTTTTTCCTGTTCTATATCTTTATTCATTGGTTTACCAGATTTATTTTTTGTATTTTTGTGTTTCTAGTTGATGCACTTTTATTTTATTGGGGGGGTATTAATCTATTCACCTCTTTGGGGACCTTGGACAAACAGCAATATATAAAAAACTCGATGAGGATTTGACTCACGAGGCCGTTTCTCCCTGAAACCAAACCCACTTCCCCCAGGTCTGATGTTATATATGGTATCAGGTGTGGCGAAGGTAGAGAAGTTGCTGGATCATAAGGCTGCCAGGCAACTGACAGGTGGCTTGTCTCACCCATGTGTCAAAGTTGGTTTAAAAGGTCTGGCTTATTTTTATCTGCACTTTAAGGGAAAATATGCTATGAAGATTTGGCTTTTTTTGCCTAGAATGTTGTTTTTATTCCAGACACTCCAGATCTTGGACAAGATGGACTGTTTCAAGAGGTGGCAAAAAGACATATCCAAGTTTGTCTGGCAGGGCAAAAAACCCAGAATAAATTTTAAGATTTTAACTGATGCAAAAGATAGAGGGGGGTTTGCCCTTCCGGACCTGAGACTTTATTATGAATCGGCAGCGTTCTGCTGGTTGAAACAATGGCTGCTTCTTGAGAACACAGACATTTTGGATCTGGAAGGGTATGACAATAGATTTGGTTGGCATGCATATATATGGTATGACAAGGTAAAAATACATAAAGGTTTCAAAAACCATATTGTCAGGAAAGCACTATACAATGTTTGGATAAGATACAAAGATCTACTGGAAAGTAAAACTCCCAGGTGGCTATCACCAATGGAAGCTAAAGAGACAAAAAAACTTAATATGGAGTCCAAATGGCCAAAATATTGTGAAATCTTAGAGCAAGATGGTGAAAGGGTTAAATTACAGAGTTATGACAAATTAAAGTCTAAAGTACGAGATTGGTTGCACTACCTTCAGCTAAACGAGGTATTTAAACAGGACAGGAAAATAGGTTTTCAGATGGAGAGGTCGAAATTAGAAACAGAATTGTTAGAACCCAATACTAAGAACTTGTCAAGAATGTATAATTTGCTGCTGAAATGGAATACACAGGATGAAACAGTAAAATCAGCTATGATCAAATGGGCACAAGACATAGGTCATGACATTATGTTTGATGACTGGGAAAGGTTATGGAGCACCGGTGTTAAGTTTACGGCTTGTAATGCCTTGAGAGAAAACATAATGAAAATGATCTATAGGTGGTACATGACCCCAGTCAAACTTGCAAAAATTTACCATTTGCCCAATAATAAATGTTGGAAATGTAATGAGACTGAAGGTACTTTCTATCACCTTTGGTGGACCTGCCCGAAGATTAAAGCCTACTGGGAAATGATCTATAATGAAATTAAAAAGGTCCTTAAATGGACATTTTCTAAAAAACCAGAGGCTTTTCTCCTGGGCATGGTGGGCCAATTGGTGCCAAGGAAGGACAGAATTTTTTTCATGTATGCTACCACAGCAGCAAGAATTCTTCTAGCAAAGTATTGGAAGATGCAGCAGCTACCCACTCTGGAAGAATGGCAAGCGAAGGTGATTGACTACATGGGAATGGCAGAGATGACCGGCAGAATCCGTGACCAGGGGAGTGAGACAGTGGAAGAAGATTGGAAGAAATTTAAAATATATCTTAATGTCTTTGATCTACAGTTTTAGCTGGACATCGCTTAGAGAGCTCTTTGACGAAGAGGCTTCTAAATAAATGTGTTCTGTGGATGCAGGCAGTCACACAACAAGAATGGGAGCCACTGTCCCCAACCGCAAAATTCCTACCCACGATTGCTCTACCCTGACTCCTGACCTCCTTCCACTCAGGGAACTAAATTATCATTTAGTTATTGATTTATTCCTTGCATTAATACCCCATCATTTTCTCCAAGGAGCTCAAGGGGGCACCTGTGATTCTCCCCCTCCCCCATTTAATCCCCACAACAACCCTGAGAGGAGGGTTAGGCTGAGAGGCAGTGACTGGCCTGAGATCACCCAGTGATCTTCATGGAAGAATGGGGACTTGAACCTTGCTCTCCCAGGTCTGGGTCCGAAACTCTAACCACAACATTGGATTATTCATATTATTATTTTAACTTATATCCCACCCTTGCTTTTGAAGGAGCCCAGAGCAGAAAACACATCAATGATAAAACACTTTTTGAAAAACAAACAAATGGTGATCTCAGGGTTGCCAGTAACAGTGTCTTTCAGCCATCAAATGCTGGGGTAAACAGGATTTGTTTAAAAAATAATAATCCTGAACGTCAATAATACTTTAAATACATTTAAAGCACATTACTTTTCCCAAAGAATCTTGGGAAATGTAGTTCACCCCCCACAGAGCTACCATTCCCAACACCCTTAACAAACTACAGTTACCAGGATGCTTTGAGAGAAGCCCTGTTACTTTTAATGTACTGGTCCTAATTCAAGGTGTTAGTAAAAGGTAAAGGGACCCCTGACCATTAGGTCCAGTCGTGACCAACTCTGGGGTTGCAGTGCTCATCTCGCTTTATTGGCCGAGGGAGCCAGCGTACAGCTTCCCGGTCATGTGGCCAGCAGGACTAAGCTGCTTCTGGCGAACCAGAGCAGCGGACAGAAATGCTGTTTACCTTCCCGCCAGAGCAGTACCTATTTATCTACTTGCACTTTGACGTGCTTTCGAACTGCTAGGTGGGCAGGAGCTGGGACTGAGCAACGGGAGCTCACCCCGTCGCGGGGATTCGAACTGCCAACTTTCTGATCGGCAAGTCCTAGGCTCTGTGGTTTAACCCATAGCGCCACCCGCGTCCCACAAGGTGTTAATATGGGCATACAAATGACTCAGGAGCAGAGTACCTAAAACAGTGGCTTCCCCAATATCAACCATCTCCACAACCAGCTGGTGAAATGTTGGTGGTGGTGGTGCCACCAGCAGAAGCAGGGCTTTCTTGGTCCCCAGGGACCTTTGACGGGCCTTTTCAGTGGCAGTTCCCTGTTTGTGGAAAACCCTCCCAGGTGAGGTTCATCTGTCTCCTTCTTTCAGGAGGAATTTGAAAACCTTCCAGGCATTTGACGGCTAAGAAACGCTCTTCCTGTCAACCTCGGAGATCACTATTTTTAGAATGCTTTTAGATTGTTGGTGTTAATGTTTTTGTCACCCTGGGTTCCTTTGGGAGGAACAGAAGGATATCAATTGAAATAGTAATAACAACTAATAATAATACTTATTAGTCACTCACTATAAACAAAGCACCAAAGCATCTTAAATTAAAAGCCTCAGGCATAGAACAAAATCAGATATGCTTTCCAAATTCCAAATATGGCATTTGGATCCTGGGAGCGCTAAGAAGATTACGAGTGTAAGCAGGAAAGATAAAATTCTCTGGGTAAGCTTGACGACAGAAAGTGCTTCTGATGTTTTCCCTGCACTTACGATCCCTGCCTCTGGACTGCCTTCTTGTCCAGTCCAACATCCACATGCAGTCACCAAAGCTTTAGATTAAGAACTCAGGCTTACAGCAGCCCAAACATCCGTCCAGCTCCAACTTTAAAAAAACAAAAACTGTCCAGCCTGTTTGTCTCTCTTGAAGGTTCTGTGATTGTGCTGTGGTTCCTTCAGCCAATCTAAGCCGCAGAAGCCCCTTCAGATGTTTGGCTTCCAAAAATAGTTTGCAAACTGCAACTCTCACTTCCAGATTTGTGATGTTCGGGAGCCAAAACGTTTGAGAATTAAGCTGTTCAAGAACCAAGGTACGACTGTACAATATAACACCGCTTAATATATCCACTTAGAACATGAAACCGAAAATCCAGCTTGACACAGACAGCAAAATGCTAAGAAGAATTCAACTGCAAAGCAGCGCCAGGGAGAGGATCCCAGTTTATATTGCGTGACCAAATATAGCAGGGGTGGGGAACCTTTTTGGCCTACTAGGCTAGATCTTTATCTCCATCAACACACTCCATGGGCCAGCTTTGACACAGGGCAATCTAATGATGTCAGGTGATTGGCAGGTGGGTGGTTCTGTCCTCCTGTCAAAGTTGGCCTGCAGGGGTGAGGGAAAATAGTGAGCAGAGTTCAAGTGCACCAGTGAGTTTCCTCTGGAGAACTAGATTGAGCACCGTAAGCAAGCAGGATTGAAATGCCCAACCCTCAGTTGATGCACAGGGTCTTCAACTCTGTTTTCCAGGCAAAGGACCCAGTTGTGTCTTCACTGGCCGCATCCCTTATGTTGCATATAATTGCATATAATGTCAGGTGGCTGTGGTTTGGGAAAATTGGCTTAACAGGCCAAACTGGGTTCCTGAGCAGGAGGTTTCTCACTTCTGAAATACAGGTTATACCCACTATTGGCCCAAGAGTACAGTGGTACCTCAGGTTACATACACTTCAGGTAACATATGCTTCAGGTTACACTCCGCTAACCCAGAAACAGTGCTTCAGGTTAAGAACAGGTTCAGTTTAAGAACGGACCTCCGGAATGAATTAAGTACTTAACCCGAGGTGCCACTGTAATTTTTCTGCCACCACTGCATCCTTGGAGCATCAGCCAACAGAACATGTCATCCTGAACAATCTTCTAAGGAAGTCCCATGTATAACAGATTGTAATAATCTATCCTGGAGGCTACCAAAGCAAAGGCAACTGAGTCTGCGTTCAAATGCAGAATCTATCAAACAACCTGCATATTTGGCTCAGAGTTTCAAAGGGATACTCACTGTATTTTCTTTGGCTTCTTCCTTCTCTCACATTCTAGGACAATCTGTCACTTCTTTGGTGGGAAATCTTTTTTTGAAAAGAAAAAGGCAACAAGAATAAAAACAGTTCAATTTACCAGTCAGGTTTTTTTCTTAGCCAGTCTTTTAAAGCATTGAGAACTGGGTCTTGTTGGAAGCAGGTGTTTTAAAGCACAAGTTGCATCTGATCAGAGCAGATTTGCCCGTGGAGCAAATCCTCAAAGTGTTCTCTCTCTCGTCTTCTGTTTAGTCTGTCATGGGCACATTTCGTATTGTATTTCTTTCATTGTTACATATACACAGTATCCCACCTTTCCCCCAATGCAGGTGAAGGTGGCCCTCTCCATTTTATCCTCACAACAACCCTGTGAGGTAGGTTTGGCTGTCTCAGTCTTGAGCAGCCCAAGGTCACCTAGTGAGCTTCATAGCTGAGTAGGGACTGGAATCCTGTCCTTCCAAGTCCTGGTCCAGCGTTCTAACCACTGCCCCACATTGCTACCCATAAAAAGTCTTCTGAAATTTATTAAGATAAGCTGAAATGGGCCCCTCTGAGGGGTGTGTCCAAAAACTGGCAAGTTTTATTCAATGTGTTACTGGTATTCATGTAAGGAAGAGGCATGTCTGAAGAGCTGTCATGCAGAAGATGAGCAGATTGTAACTTGGGAACATCCAGTGGAACTGAATGTTGAAAGATTCAGGATACACAAAAGAAAGCACCTCTTCACAAAGCACATAGTTAAACTACAGAATTTCCTTCCAGGAACATGGAGGCTTAGACAAATCAATGGAGGATAAAGCTAACGATGGCTACTAGCCAGGACAGCTATGTTCCACATCCACAGTTGGGAGGCAGTATGCCTCTGAATAGGGACACGGGTGGCGCTGTGGGTAAAACCTCAGCGCCTAGGACTTGCCGATCGTATGGTCGGCGGTTCGAATCCCCGTGGCAGGGTGAGCTCCCGTCTTTCGGTCCCAGCTCCTGCCCACCTAGCAGTTCGAAAGCACCCCTAAGTGCAAGTAGATAAATAGGTACCGCTTTATAGCAGGAAGGTAAACGGTGTTTCCGTGTGCTGCGCTGGTGCTGGATTGCCAGAGCAGCTTCGTCACGCTGGCCACGTGACCCTGAAGTGTCTCTGGACAGCGCTGGCTCCCGGCCTCTTAAGTGAGATGAGCGCACAACCCTAGAGTCGGACACGACTGGCTCGTACGGGCAGGGGTACCTTTACCTTTTTAATGCATCAAACATTAAAAGCTTCCCTAAACAGGGCTGCCTTCAGATGTCTTCTAAAAGTCTAGTAGTTGTTGTTCTCTTTGACATCTGGTGGGAGGGCGTTCCACAGGGCAGGTGCCACTACCGAGAAGGCCCTCTGCCTGGTTCCCTGTAACTTGGCTTCTCTCAGTGAGGGAACCGCCAGAAGGCCCTCGGCACTGGACCACTTAGGATTGATTGCATTCCAGAAGTATATAGAATCATAGAGCTGCAGAGTTGGAAGGGACCATGAGTGTCGTCTAGTCCAACCCCCTGCAATGCAGGAATATTTTGCCCAATTTGGGGCTTGAACCCACAACCCTGAAATTAAGAGTCTCACACTCTTCTGACTGAGCCATCCCCATTAACATTTTGTTAAATGAATAAATCCGGTTGGCCTCTGTGAGAGCAGGATACCAGACTAGATGGACCATGGCCTGATCCAGAAGACCCTTATGACATTAGATTTGTTACATTGCATTAGCCCAGCCTACTTTTTCAGTTTGGGTACCACTGCACCTGGATGCATGCATCCATTCATGTAGGTACCCTCTTTCAGTGGCTGACTCCTTTTAGAAAAATCTACGCTTGGCTTGCTTCATGATCTCACCTCACCCTGTTTCCCCCAGAAAATAAGATCAAACTTAGAAGTACGGGCAAGAAGACAGGATGAGATTGATGCAAAAATACCCAACCACAAGAACTAGATGCATATGGCCATCTGTATGGAGGCATGAGGAGGTGAGGGAAAGAATGTAACTGTAAGTACTGGGAAAGTTGGGGGAAAGAGTGTAATGGGTTGAAGATGTTGCTGTGGAGACCCCTAGTTCAGAGGCAGAGTGCATACTTTGCATGCCTAGGGTTTAAACCTTGACATTTCCAGACAGAGTATGTCAGCTCTGCCATTCAGAAAGGACAGTATTAGACTCCAGAGGTCAATGGTCTGACTCACTTGGAGTGTGTGCGTGTTGGAGTGGGGGGGGGGTAGCTCAGGCAGTAGAGCATGGTACTTAATTTCAGGGTTGTGGGTTCAAGTCCCACACTGGGCAAAAGATTCCTCCTTTTCAAGGGAGTTGGACCAGATAACCCTCGTGATCTCTTCCAACTTGCTCTATATAGGCTAACAGCTAAAGCTAAATGGTTTGAGGTGGGGAGATCTTCCAGCCCAAGGGCCGCATAGACTTCTGGGGGCCACACTGACAGTGGGAAAGGCCAGAGGCAAAAGTGGGTGGAGTGACAGATGTACCATTGTACCTTTGTAGTGACAGGTTAGTTCCTGCACAGCCATCGCTAGTCTCCATCCAGATTCATTATCGGAGATCAAAGACATGCTCCAGTCAGGCAAAAACACTTGGGGTGCAAAGCAGGGCCTCAGGATTGTGGCCAAGGAGGGTTGTGTGGTGTAGGGGGAGCAATGAGGGCCAGATAAGAGAGGATTGGAGGGCTATAGCTGGTCTCAGGGCGTGAGGTTCTCCATCCCCTGATCTAGACAGAAGACCTTCTGGGAACTTCTTCGGTTGCACTGAAGAAAGGAAGGGATGTAAAATGAAATAAAGGAATAAATGCAAGTGCTTGTGACAGTGCAATATAGCCAACTAAGTTCTACTCAGAACAGACCCACTGAAATTAATGAGGCCTACGTTAGCTTTGTCCATTAACTGCAATGGGGCTAGCACTGGAAAAACAACCCATTATTTACATCTTGTTTTTCCAGCTTTCAAAGCAGCATGCAACATGGTATGAGAGGAATCATTAGAAATTAAGGACATGCGCTCTTTCGTGGGGGCATATTTGCCTCAAACCAGAGCTGTCCGTTGAGGAGACGAGGACACAGTCCAGAGACATATTGGTGGCCAAGCCTATCCTCCTATAAAACTGAAAGACGCTGACTGTCCCCACTGTTGAACCCTGGTTTTGAGACCTTTTGGAACTTTCTGCTTACAAATGGGGCTGATATTTCAGACTCCAGGAAGAAGATACATTTCAAGATATTCTAAAAGAGTCTAAGAAGCAAGCTCAGTGCAGTGTTAAGAACGGAATGTGCTTTTGTTTCTTTCTTTATTAGTAATGCTATTCTTAATATCTTATTTGCAGACTTTAGTATGCTGAGATGTCCTATAGGTCTATTTTTGTCATTTTATATGGACACTGGATGTAAGGGAAGCTATTCTGTAATTTATGCCCAATCTGTAAATGGGCACAGATAGGGAGGGGGAGGGTAAGCGGGGGGGGGGGTTAGAAGCAGGAAAGCTTGTGATAAAAATGCAGCTGTTCACTTTTTTAAAAATGCCAGGATAAAAATCAAATAGCAATAAATAAGTCCTCAGTTCAGCAATGTATGCCAAGAACCTCCTTTTGCTGAAGAAACCACTTAGGCTGTGCACATGTGTAGCTTTTAAAACACACCAAGGACATTTTTTGGCAAGTAAACCCACCTTTGCACAATAACCCAATCTAAATTGTAACAAAATAAAAAAAAAAAAAATCCTTCCAGTAGCACCTTAGAGACCAACTAAGTTTGTTATTGGTATGAGCATTCGTGTGCATGCACACTTCTTTTGTTCTGACTACAGCAGACCAACATGGCTACCTACCCATAACTCATCTATAGCAGCAGCTACTTCTGTGTCATCTGTACACGCAGGTGAGCACATTTTCACTAATTTCCACCTCTCAGTTAGTGTTTCCACAGTCCTTAAAAAAAAAAAAATCATTTCCCCCAACCTTTCAAAAGAGAGGAGCTAGAATTTGGTGTGTTGGTATACTATATTGGTATACAGAGTTACTGTACTGCGTCCTATTTTGAAGGGGACTGGTAAGTATAAGCAACCCAAGAAAGTTATCTCTGTTATAGTACTCAGCCAGGCAGCAAGTGCTCAAGAAGTACATTACTGGCACAAAATGAATTATACCCAGCCCAGAAGAATGCACTTTATATTGGCAAGTAGCGTGGGCCAGGACGCGGGTGGCGCTGGGGGTTAAACCACAGAGCCTAGGACTTGCTGATCAGAAGGTCGGTGGTTCGAATCCCCGCAACGGGGTGAGCTCCCGTTGCTCGGTCCCTGCTCCTGCCAACCCAGCAGTTCAAAAGCGTGTCAAAGTGCAAGTAGATAAATAGGTACCACTCCAGTGGGAAGGTAAACGGCATTTCCGTGCGCTGCTCTGGTTCGCCAGAAGCGGCTTAGTCATGCTGGCCACATGACCCGGAAGCTGTCTGCGGACAAATGCCGGCTCCCTTGGCCTATAGAACGAGATGAGCGCGCAACCCCAGAGTCAGACACGACTGGACCTAATGGTCAGGGGTCCCTTTACCTTTACCTAGCATGGGCCAGGGATGACTTGGGGATGATGTCATGTGTACAGCACCCCCAAAAAGCACTCGCATCCAGCACTAAATGCACATTGTCATGCTATGTGTATGTGCCCTTTGAGAGGGCTGACCAGGGCAAACACACATTTGAAGCCCTGGGGGTGGGGGGAGATCCTGCAGAGGGTGGAGATGGGGAAGGGTTGTAGCTCGGTGGTAGAGCATCTGCCTTGCATCTGGAAGGACTCTGGTTCAATCCCCAGCATCTCTCATGCAGGGATGGGAGAGATCCCTCGAGAATCTGCTGCCTGCTAGGGTAGACAATGGTGGGCTCAAGGGACCAAGGGTCTCACTCAGTATAAGGCAGCTTCCTATGTTCCTCAGGGTCCTCCTCCAACATGAGCTGGCTTCTCCTGCCGACATTTGTGTGAAATGTATAGTTTGGACCAAAGGACGCTTTGCCCGCTGAGATATATTGGGGGGCTGAGTCACA